AGTGTCTTAGTGTTGTATACACGTTAAGGGAAGCTTGTTTCCCTTGGTTGTACGAAGGAGAGGTATTTTCCTTCGGGTTGAAGTCTTGGAGTGCGGTATCTCCGAGCAAGGTTGTTGAGGCTCGTGGGACTCGAGTTCTCAGGTTGTAACGGTTTGTTAAGCACCCGTAAGCTTAACGGAAGTAGTGTAGCTCGAGAGAGTCTCTCGGGAGATTGGATTAGCCACACGTTGTGGTGAACCAGTATAAATCTTGGTGTGCTCCCTTTACGCTTTCTACGCTCTTTTTACGTTCTTAATTTTTTATTCCTGCGATTTCTACGATCAAACGCTATTCACCCCCCCTCTAGCGTTGGTCACTTATTCTAACAATTATCCCTTTTTCGAGTTAGACATGCTAAATCGATCAAGGACCTTATCTATATATGTACTTTGACATAGACCTATCAACTTTCTTGACCTATCACGGTAGATTTTTATGCCAAGGGCATAACTAGCATTCCCCAAGTCCTTCATTGTGAAGTTCTCGCTCAACCAAGTCTTTACAGATGTGAGAGTAGGAACATCGTTACCCATTAACAATATGTCATCGACATATAGGATTAGGAATACTATCACACTCCCACTGACCTTCTTGTAAACACAAGACTCGTCAGAATTCTTCTCGAAACCAAAACTAGTGATGGTTTCATCAAAGCGTATATATCAGCTCCGAGATGCTTGTTTCAATCCGTAGATTGACCGTTGCAGCTTACAGAGACTTTGGCAGATTCACCAGCATATGTAAAACCGTCAGGCTGTGTCATATAGACATCCTCTTTGAGGTTCCCATTAAGGAAAGCCGTCTTGACGTCCATCTTCCAAATCTCGTAATCGTAGAACGCTGCAATCGCAAGCATTATCCGAATGGACTTCAGCATCACGACTGGAGAAAAGGTTTCGTCATAGTCAATTCCGTGGATTTGTCTAAAACCTTTTGCTACCAATTTAGCTTTGAAGGTATGAACCTTCCCGTCTACGTCTGTTTTCTTTTTGAAAATCCACTTGCACCCTCTGGGTTTTATCCCTTTGGGTGCATCAACCAAGGTCCAGACTTGGTTTGTGTACATAGACTCCATTTCGGATTTCATGGCATTAAGCCATTGTTTGGATTCGGGGCAAGTGATTGCCTCGAGGTAAGTCTCAGGTTCGCCTTGGTCTACCAGTAAGATGTCACCTTCATCAGATACAAGGAAGCCGTATCTAACCGGAGGATTACGCATCCGGTATGACCTACGTGGTAAAACCTAAGCTAGTCGAGATACTAAATCTGGACACTCGGGTTCCACTGCTATTGAGATCTGTTCTTGTGGTTCTCCAATTTCTTCGAGGTCTACCTTTCTCCCACTAGAAATAGCAGAGAGAAACTCCTTCTCAAGGAAGGTTCTGTTCCGAGCAACAAAGATTTTGTTATCGGTCGGATGATAGAACTCATACCCTTTCGTTTCCTTGGGGTATCCCACAAATTTACACCTGTCAGATTTGGAATCCAGCTTACCAGACGTCATGAGGCGTCTAACGTAAACATCACAACCCCAAATCCTCAACTATGACAAATTCGATTTTTTCCCTCGCCATAGCTCGTATGGTGTGCTCTCAACAGCTTTAGATGGTACGCGATTGAGTGTGTGTGCTGCTGTTAATAGTGCTTTACCCCAAAAAAACTCTGGTAATGTTGTTAGACTCATCATACTCTGAACCATATCGAGCAGCGTTCGATTTCTCCTTTCAGACACTCCATTTAATTGGGGTGTACCGGTAGGAGTCAGCTAGGATAGGATCCCGTGCTCTTTTAGATAGTCGTCGAACTCTAGGCTTAAGTACTCACCTCCTCGATCTGAGCAAAGGGTCTTGATACTTTTGCCTAATTGTTTCTCTACTTCGTTTCTTAATTCTTTGAACTTCTCAAAGCATACGGATTTGTGTTTCATGAGATACACATATCCATACCGACTGAGGTCGTCAGTAAATGTTACGAAGTATGAGAAACCACCTCTAGCTTCAGTGTTGATTGGGCCACATACATCAGAGTGTATGAGGCCTAATACATCACTCGCCCTTTCACCGTGACCGGTGAATGGAGCCTTTGTCATTTTACCGAGTAAACAAGATTGGCATATATCATAAGACTCAAGGTCAAATGAATCAAGTACGCCAGAGTGACGTAACTTAGATATGCGTTTCTCGTTAATGTGGCCCAAACGACAATGCCAAAGGTATGTGAGATTCAAACTGTTTGGTTTGCTTCTCTTAACATCTACGTTATAAACAGTGGCGTCTAAGTCTAAGATATAAAGACCATTGGTCATCTTAGCAGTTGCATAGTAAATATCATTTCTGAAAACCGAAAGGCACTTGTCTTTGACGTTAATAGAAAATCCTGCTTGGTCAAGACAGGACACAGAAATGATATTCCTGCTAATTGCAGGTACAAACAAACAATTGTTTAAATGCAACAACAAGCNAGGTCAAATGAATCAAGTACGCCAGAGTGACGTAACTTAGATATGCGTTTCTCGTTAATGTGGCCCAAACGACAATGCCAAAGGTATGTGAGATTCAAACTGTTTGGTTTGCTTCTCTTAACATCTACGTTATAAACAGTGGCGTCTAAGTCTAAGATATAAAGACCATTGGTCATCTTAGCAGTTGCATAGTAAATATCATTTCTGAAAACCGAAAGGCACTTGTCTTTGACGTTAATAGAAAATCCTGCTTGGTCAAGACAGGACACAGAAATGATATTCCTGCTAATTGCAGGTACAAACAAACAATTGTTTAAATGCAACAACAAGCCACTAGGGAGAGATAGAACATAAGTTCCTACAGCCAGCGCATTAACAAGTGCTCCGTTTCCGACCTTAAGCTGGACTTCTCCCTCAGCCAAATGTCATGCAGATTATGCATAGAAGTATAGATGTGAGAACCACATCCGGTATCCATCACCCAAGAGGTGAAATCAGACATATTGACTTCGATAACGTAAATATCTGAGTTTTGGGGTTGACCCTGGTAAAGGTCTCTCAAGCGTTGTATCATAGGACGCACTTGCATGTCCGCCTGGAGCCTTTCGAGCTCTGCGGTCATACTTGCCATAATGATACACTTAACATCTCACGCGTCGTCCTCATACTTCTTGAAGGAAGTGAGTTCAGACGCACGAGCACTTGCCTCAGGGGTCTTGGGAGGATCCGTTTCGAGGATGTAAAGTTTCCTCTCATAGTCAAGAACGATTCGGAGGTTCTTCTCCCAGTCAAGAAAGTTTTCCCAGAGAGTTTTTGGCTCTCGAGGATATAGCACAGGTTGATTGAATGACTGTACGTGTTATTCGATGCCATCTACAGAATGAAATTGCAAACTAGGTTATCTATCATGTTGAATAATTAATTAGGCCTTTAATTAATTATTTCCCACTATTTTAACAAACCAACAACCCTCAATGTTGATTTGGAGATTCTCCTAGAGATTCTCTTAATGGGCCAAGATCCATATATCATTAAATTCTAGTTGACCTGAGATTCGTACCTAGAATTTAACTATTTAGGTAGGAACATAGTTCCAACTGTCGAGCCACGCTCACAGTTCTTGGTCTTGTGTTGGGCGAACGACAAAACTACTAACGAACCAGAACACCGTTTCATCGTACATGTGATTGGCTTTGGCACGTACCAAATGCACAACTACTTTAGTTAGGGCAAAGCCCAATTAAGTCATAGAGACCCAACTTCTGGCTGGATGAGTGAGTAAAGTAATTCGACTTGTGAGTATAGTGACCCCAACAAAAACCGCCTCTAAGTCATCCATCCATTTGACCGAGACTCAGTTAAGTCTAACCCAACGTCTGACAATGACCACTTTAGTGACTCCCGTGACCAGCATAACATACACCGTACTACGCTCTGCTAGGGCCGAGTGCGTGACAGTGCACATTAGCCGGAAAGGTGCCGGGCGCCGGAAGGCAATACAAACTTAATATTTCGAGGGATTTTAAATTTTACGATCTCACCTACGACACATGTCGCGCACGTGTCAATTTACTAGCGTTAAACATACATTCACATGCATTCAAAATATGCTGTAAATAAACGTGTAATGATTGTGGCCCCTAAAGGAAAAATAAAACGATAGCTCCCACTCTTGGACTTCTGGCTATCTCCATTCCTTTAGATTCTCAAGAACGGACATCAAATCTTTTATCTTCTAACCACCACGTGAGAAAAGAATCCTCGGTTGAGGTAAGAGAGAGAAATAGATTTACAACGAGAGTTTAAGAGATAAGGCACGACACGCAGGTCGTATTATAATCAAATAAACTATAGCCACAATCATCCACCATGCATATCATACATCCACACAGGCAATAGAGATATACATACACCGGGCGAACCGCACTCGCCCCAAATAATTCTAGAAAAATACTACGTTGGTAATATTTTCTAAAAATCATAAAAATTCATAAATTGGTCCAAAAATTATGAAATTTTACCAAGTCATCCCAAATATATTAAGAGACTTTCGGGCAGGGGCAAAACTGGAAAATAAATTTCCAGGAAACACAGAATTACGAAAATGCCCCTAGTCCAATGTTTATTCCAAAATTCATTTTAAATTTGAAATAAATTTGCAAAAATCATGAAAATTAATTTCCAACTTCCACTAACTATTTTATACACTTATAAATCGGAAAAATAAATTTCCAGAATTTATAAATATTTATTTCCCAAATATATTAATAATATCTCAATAATTGCAAAAATAATTTTAAACCATTTTTCAAAAATCATTAAATTATAAAATTTAATATTTATAAAAATCAACTTACTTTTTACTGAGATATAATTTTCCAAAATGATATTAGCCATTTTCAATTTATATATATATATATATATATATATATATATATATATATGTATATATATATATATATATATATTACTAGGTAATATATATATACCGAAATATATATATAATTAATTACTAACTAATATTATTTTGTCCAATATATTTATCAACAACTTTATTTCACCTAGAAATAATATTTCCAAGTTTTATAAAGTTCATTTTTGAGTTTCCAATATTTATTTAAGATTTATTGGAATTAAATCTAAACAAATACAATTGACTCAAAAATTGGAAATAAACAATTTCGAAAATTACAATATAATTTTACTAACCATAAAATGAAAATCTTAAGATGGAGGATACTTAGTCTATCACAAATTTTCATGGGCGAGTTAGAGAGTTGGCAAATGAGGCTGAAAGGCTTGGTGAACCAATTACAGAAAACAAACTGGTGTTGAATGTGCTACGGTCTCTTCCAGAAAAATACTCTATGGATGTTAAAGCTATTAGACAAACACAATCTCTCAATGTTATGTCTCTTGATGAACTGATGGGGAACTTAGAAACCATTGAGTTGGAGATGCATGAAGATCTACGACGTAAAAAACAGCATGTCATCCTCGTTGAAAAAGAGAAGCAGTGTGTTAAAGACAGTGCTGGAACATGCTGTGCTTTTCCAACTTTCCATAGTGTTGACGGTGACTCTGATAGTGACGTAGATCCAAGGGAGATGCTTATAATTGTTGAAGAAAAATTTCAAGAGTCTCTACGGGTCAACAAGAAAAAATGTTTGGAAAATGATAGCCTCAAACGTGAACTTGCTGAATCAAAACGCGATGTGGAACAACTCATCAAAGAGTTACAGAGATACAAAGGTAAAGTTACAGCAGAGGATGANTGCTTTTCCAACTTTCCATAGTGTTGACGGTGACTCTGATAGTGACGTAGATCCAAGGGAGATGCTTATAATTGTTGAAGAAAAATTTCAAGAGTCTCTACGGGTCAACAAGAAAAAATGTTTGGAAAATGATAGCCTCAAACGTGAACTTGCTGAATCAAAACGCGATGTGGAACAACTCATCAAAGAGTTACAGAGATACAAAGGTAAAGTTACAGCAGAGGATGACAGAGAGGATGACAGAGAGGATGATACAGAAGATGACACAGAGGTTGACACAGCAGAAGAGCTAGCTATGCTCCAAAGGAAGTGGGTAGAACTTGTTCAAGCCAACCAAAAAACTGTCTTGGAGAATCATCATCTTGTTGCCGAGCGCAATGGACTAAAGGAGAGTATTTCAGAACTAGAAAAGAAGATTGAAGACTTAGAAGGGCAACAATCAGATCTCAAGTATGAATTAAATCAACTCAAAAACTTTCACAAGTGGATGAGAAGTGCTGGAGCAAAAGCTATTGAGGAACAAGTGAACGTTTCAAAATTTTATGTATCATTTATCTCATTTTATCTAAATAAAGAATTTTTAACTTGTAAGCAGCTTATAAATTAAAAAATTTTATAAACAATAAATCAACAAGTAGTAGTACAAAGAAACATTCACTTACTTTTTTTTACGTATAAGCAGCTTTACTTATAAGTCAACTTATAAGCACACAGAAACTTGTTATCATCTGACTTATTAATTGAAAACTATTTATAAACATTTTTAACTATTCCGTTCGTCCCAAAGTATTTGTCCACTTTCATTTTTACACATTGTCCAATACACTTCTTTAATCCATTTTATCTTGTAATTTGTATACTAAAAAATTATAGAAATTATATATTAATAATCTATATGTTAAGACAAATCAAACAAGATCACACATGACTACAAAAACCAGAATCAAATTTGATCAAAAAGAAAAACAAGGTGCAAAGTTAGACAGTGAAAAGTTTCTGGACAGCCACACAGATTTGATCATCGCCGGAGATCCGACCGTTGGATTTTGCTGAAATTTTCAGAGGGTGTTCTCAACACATAGAGATTCAACGTGTTAAAATTTCACGTCAATCGGAGTCACGGATCTTCTGTTATCGAAGTTACAATCTACACACTGTTGCTGATTTTTTGCAGAAAACACTGCCCTGGTTTTCTCGATGGTTGGAGTACCAAATCTTGTCTGATCGTGCTGAAATTTTAGGAGGAGTCTAAAGATTCGTGGAGCTTCAATCTGAACGGTGGAGATTGAATTCTAACGGTTCAATCTTGATTTATGAGCTTCGGATCAGCCTGCATATTTTAGTAAATCAAGGAGAATCTTTATTTGAAGGTGTATTGGAATCTACGTCCTTGAAAAAGATCTTTGAGAAGGTGTAACAAGCCGTGGAGATAGACGTAAACCGAGTTTGTCGTCAAGTCATTCGTAAGTAGACAAATCAATATATTAGAAGGTTCTGTTGTGATTGATTGTGTAATTCTTACGGTGATTTAGTGGAAGGGCTATTACACGGACGTGGGCCTTGCAGACGTAGGAGAATTTGCTCCGAACTGCGTGAACAATTCTGGTGTCTTGCTTGCTGTTTTTACTTTATTTTCTACGTGTGTGCTTGTGACAGAGAAGTGTTATAGCACACTGTCCGTCATCTGTTACTGTGACAGTACTGCAGCATATTCTCTACAACATAGTTGATTGTTTTGTTTGCATAGCTTGTGTTTGGTGTTATCCGCTGCGCCCCACAAACTTACATTATACACATGTCATAATACATATATTAATAATGAATAATAATGATAGGTAATATACATATGCATAACAACAAAAACAACAGATGATGGAAGGGGACATTGTCCCACAATCCCGTACCCATGCCATGCATTGTTACGAAAGTGGGAAGGGGGATGGGATTTAAAATTCCCCCTCCTTTAAATGTTAAAAGTGTATTTTATTTGACATCAATAATTTTTATGATATGAAATAAAATACCAATATCAGTTTAAAACAAGTATATAAAATATACTTTAAAATAGTTTTTGTCAAAATAATTATTTTCATAATTAAAATGACACTCCAAAATAAAATGTACACAATATAATTCATAATGTATGTACACGTAATAATAGCATATTACATACATATATATTTACGCACATACATATTACATATATATGTATATATACATACGCACTAACATGTAACCATATATATGTGCGTCATGTATAAAGTATGTGTGTTTTTTTTTAATAAATAATATTTATATTAGCTGAAAGATTAAGAGTTTACAGCTGTGTGGTAGATGACTTCTACCCACCATAGATATCAACTAGGTAGAAATATAGGAAGATTAAATCTATTACGATACAAACAGAATCCTAAGCTTTTCATTTGATCGTCCAGGATCATCCATTTCTTCTCCTTGTGGATCCATATCCATTGCTGAATTATCTTCATTGTAGAAGCTATGATCGTCCCTTCTTTAAAGGTCTTTCCCTCAAACTTTTCTGCATTGTAAGCCTTCCATAATCCCCATGCAATGAAACCCGGCAATACGCCATTGAGTTTATCCTGCATTTTGGTCCTTGGCGTGCTCACCCACCAATTCATGCACGTATCATTAAGGGTATCAGCCCTATTAACAATAGGACCGTTGAAGAGTGCTGAGAAGAACCTCCATATCTTGGTAGACTGCAGGCATTGGAAAAGAGTGTGGTTGAGCTCCTGGGGTCCATTACGGCAGAAGTTACATTGGGAGGGGATGGCCAGGTTAAATCTGGCCAGATTTTCCGGGAATGGGAGAATTGAGTTGAGAGCTTTCCACATGAAGAGGCTAATCTTTGGTATCTGTAGTTTGTTCCAAATCATCTTGCTAACGAGAGATGTAGGTTTAGACTCCCTCCAAGTGTGGTATGCGACCTTGGTGGTGAAAGGCTCTCCCTCCCACGTCTCAACGTTATTTGTGTTGTGAACATGCTGAATGGCCCATGAATGTATCCGTGCAGCTCTCTTCCAGGTAACTGTGTCAGTAGGGCATTCATTAAAAGATGATGGACGGTATTTGCTCCTCATGTAATCTCCCCATAAGCCATGAGAGTTCCTTATCTTCCACCATATTTTGGCCGAGTATGCAGCTTCAATGTCCTCCAGGTGCCTGAGGCCTAAACCACCCTCATGTTTTGGGAAGCATAAACTACGCCAGGATTTCCAATGGTACTTTGGCCTTCCATCTATGTACCCCCAAAGGAAATTTTGCATCTTTTTATTTAGTAAGCTGTGGATTGACTTTGGCATTTGTTGGACAGCAACAATGTGTAAAGGGATAGAGCTTAAGACATGTTTAAGATATATATATATATGTGTGTGTGTGTGTGTGTGTGTGTGTGTGTGTGTATATATATATATATATATATATATGACGTGTACAGTTATATTAAACATTTTATTTTACTATTTTACAATATACAAATTAAATATTATCCCTTGTTATAATCTTACTCTTTAAATTGTCCAAAGTGTGTGACCCATATAAGCACTTATAAAACTGGCCACAGTATTGACTCTACATCAATACTATAAGTAATAAGCGGTATCTAGCAACACATTATTACCCCAAGATTATAAGTTCAAACGTTTGCTCCGTCAAAACCTTTCTACGACTAAGACTTTGTATAACGTCGATCCTTTTGTCCCAATGTCTTAACTTAGTGCAAGGGATATAAAATATCCAACTTGTAGCCATTAAGTTATATACTGATTAACAATACAGATGTCTAAACTCATCTCATCATGGCCATGCATTTGCTTAGCGGCATGCCCAATACAAAGCCTGTGTACCATCCTTATTTCATACGGTTTAGGACAATGAATCAAAGCATGCGGGTTCACACATTCGAAGAACGTAATACTTCAAGTCTGAGGATCGTTATACCAATAGTCACATTAAGGACACTTAGAGCATAGACTAAAAGTCTAGGCAATGTCCTTAAGGTGGGTCAGGTCTGGCATCCTATTATTAACGATAATATCTGCCCGAGAGTAGATGCGAACACTCTGTCATTGACCAAGAGACTAGATCAAACATCTAACTCTCACTAGTCTCACGCGCACTAATGATATCCCACTCTCGTTAATGCTTCGACTATAGACCGTTTAGAATTATACTAAGTGACAAGATGTCAGTCTCAACATCATAAGACTCATTTTGATAAACATCTTATAATATAATTCTAGGAATGCAATTAAGAGTTTACATTAGCATGAGATGTTTGTAAACTTAATGCATCTGCCTTTACATGATAGAAAATATCTAAGATATTAGAACAGTAGTTGGCCATAAGGGAACCAACTCCAACAAATTATTTGGGGGGATCACCAAACACCAGGAGAATCAATTACTGTAGATAAATAACATGAGAAAGGGTTCATTGCCATTCAAATACTTAGGAAGTCCCGTCACTTCTTCCAGAATCAATGCCAAAGACTGTGAGAGGCTCATAGAGAAAATGACTGCTAAACTCACCACGTGGTCTACAAAAAATCTGTCATATGCCGGGCAGGTGAAGTTAATTAATTCTGTGTTATTTGGCATAATTGGTTTCTGGAGAAGAATTTTTCTCATACCTAGTATGGTACTCAAGAGGATCCAAGGTTTATGTAGGAATTTCCTATGGGGGTCTACCCATGAACACAGGAGAATTCCCTTGGTGGCCTGGGATGATATATGCCTACCTAAGAAGAATGGGGGGCTTGGACTTAAAAATCTGACTCTGTGGAATAAAGCTAATATCATGAAATTGGTTTGGGACATTGCGATGGAAAAGGAGGTTCTTTGGATCAAATGGATCCACAACAGATATCTCAAGAACAATAATGTTTGGGACTGTCCAAAGAGGAATGATGACTGTTTTTACTGGAAAAAGATATTGCAAACCAGAGACCGCTTTGTGGAAATGGAAGACACTATCCCGTACAATCCTGAGGTTGGCTATCAATGTGGGGCAAGAACAAAAACATAACTAGACAGAATTGGTCTGGAATAGTTATTCCATCCCCAAACATAAGTTTGTGTTCTGGTTAACTTGCAGAGACAGAATACTGACCAAATACAGACTGTGATTTTCGCTAGTGCATGCGCGCGGTGTATGCCATAGGCAAGACTGCATAATAAATCCCTCATAATTTTAAGTCTGTGCCACCCCGCACCCCGTCACTCGTCAAACACAATTTAGATCGGTAACGGACTCACCCAAGTGAGACGCCTGATTTACGTTGGTTAGGCGCGAAACCCGTAACTAGGGTACTGACTCGCCCCGGGTTAGTCTTAACTAAGTATTGGTCATAAGGATGAGAGACTTAGGGCACTACGGTAGGATCAATAAATAAAATCAGTTCATCCAATCAGAGTTTTAACTTGTTACAATTGGAATTTTTCCTACCAGAAATAATTTAACTGTAAGGCAAGATGCAAAGCACAACTATAGTTAAATGAATCCACCAAACCAAGAGTTGTAATAACGATTACAATTGGAATGAATTCCTACTTAAATATTTTGACTGTGGGGAAAGATGCAAAGCACAACTATAGTTAAGTAAAATATGGATCTTGGCCCACTAGGGTATTCTTCTCACAAATAGAGACCCCAAGTCAATATGTTCCGTACCTGAGGGTAATTGACTTGTTAGAAATAGTGGGAGAGTATTTAAAAAAGACCTATTAGATACTTAATTCATTATAATAACTATCTTCGCAAAATTCTGTAGATGGCAAACAATAACAACAGAAACAACCTCGCCCTGCGTTCCATTCTGGATAAAGAAAAATTGAACAGAACAAAATTTGTTGACTGGCAACACAATCTCTCCATTGTTCTCCGCATGGATGAGAAAAAGTATGTGCTCGAAAAGCCCATTCCTCCTGCCCCTCTCGCTAATGCCCTGAAAGCGGTTAAAGATGCCTATGAGAAACACGTTAAGGATGACAACCAGGTTAGTTGTGTCATGTTGGCAACCATGACACCCGAGCTGCAAAAACAACACGAGGACATGAAGGCCTTGCAGCAGCAATACGAGGGGCAATCCAGGCATGAACATTTTCTTGTGAGTAAGGCGCTCTTTAGTTGCAAACTCTCTTCAGGGAACCCGGTCGGTCCGCACGTTCTCAAAATGATTGGTTACATAACTAATCTAGAGAAACTCGGGTTCTCCTTGCAACGGACCTGATCTTGCAGTTGCTCAAGGGTTTTTTCATGAACTACATGATGCACGATCTTGACAAACCCCTTCCGGAGCTTCTTAAAATGCTCCAGACTGCAGAGGAGAACCTTACTAAGGGCAAGGGTGCTTCCGTCCTTATGGTCCAAGGCGGAAAAGGGAAGCCGAAGAAGGGGATCAAGATTAAGGCTAGGACAGTCGAAAAGCCTAAATCAAAATCCACTTCATCCAAAAACCCGTAGGAGGGATTGCAAAGGGCAAATGTCATCACTGTGGTAAGGCAGGCCACTAGTTGGACCCAGAATTCAATGTTAAGAAGTTTTGGCAAGCTCACAGACATGGACGATTTCACAGTGGAGCAAGCCTAGCTAGGAATTGGGCGCGTCCGTCCTGGAGAATTTTGCACCATGCATTGGCTCACAGCTATTTCGGCCGTTCTCACGACCCTGACGTGGTGTTTGAGTCTGATATGTTATTTTTCTGGAGTTTGGAAGCACGCGTACCAGTTAATTTAGCAACCTTTGTGGCTCGATTCTTGTTTGCCCAGTCTACTTGCGATCTCCAGTTTGTCTTTTGTGGGCCAATGGTTACACTCCTGGCCCGAGGATTACATATGGCGGTTCCCGATGTTCTTCCAGAATCTGTGAGCATGTTCCGACCACCGATAGGGTATTTGGCCCAAATTGCATACAATAATGAAGACAAGGAGGCACGTCCAAAATGGCAGCATACCATTCCTATGTCTCTTCACGAGCTCTCTCAGGCTATGTTTGCATTTCAGGATTCTGTGGACTCCCGTTTGAGGAGCATAGAGACGCTTCTTCTCACTCAGCAGTGGCAGATGGAGGAAATACTCGACCATATCCGGGAACGGGGAATGAAGAAAACGGAGCATGAGGCTGGTCCTAAGCCAAGCAAACGTCACGGATAGTGAGATCCCTATTTTTCCTATTATTGCATTCGGAACATTATTTTGGATATTCATACTATTTTATTTTGGAATTCCATTTTTATGATTATTAAAACTCATTTCTTAAAAGTGCAATTTCTTTTAAAGGTTATGATAATTTATTGTTTCATCCTGCGTAGTAATTGCATGTGAGCATTTCAACCAGTAACTCCAATTTCAAAAATACTCCTAGCCACGAGGGCGTGGTTTTGTTTAAGTGTGAGGAAGCAAGAGTTCTTGGTTGAAATGATCTTTTAAGAATTCTTTTGTCTATGTATTTGTACGAAAAGATTTTTATAGTCATCAATTTTAATTGTTTGATTAATTAAATCTTTAGTTATCACCCGTAAAAATTGGAAATTTTTAAAATTTTTAAAACATTTTGTCAAACTTCTATTTTTACTCTAACCTTTTGAGAATGTTTTCTAAAAATGATTTGGGATAAATTCACAATTTACTAAGAGTTTTTAAGATCAATCAATTTTTAAGTGCTATGCTTTTAAGAGTATCTGTTGTTTCTCGAAAAGAGTTAGTTTCAAAGTATAAGGGGTGACGTTTCAAAGTATGCTTTGGTGAGACCGAGATTATTGTTTTAGCCAAAAAACAATTGGCTCTATGTCAATTGATGAGGCATGGTGAGTAAGCCGAAAAGCACGTGGTTCTATATTGCGTGATGAGGCCTTTTGAGTGATCGATTAAAGTAAAAAAGCACACAGTTCTATGTCGTGTGATGAGATTTTCCAGAGTGACTTTCCAAAAAGCTCGTGGTTCTATGTCACGGGAAGAGGATGGAAATTTTTCTCGTGTCAACATGACTGAGTTATACCAAAGAAAGTTAAACCCTTACATTTTGACAAATACTTTTTAAAGAAAATTTTATTCAAAGAAAAGAAAAATAGAACAAGGAAAGGGAGGCCAACCCCACAAACCGGCCAAACGGAAAAGAAACTAGAAAACAAAGCACAGGGGTCTGGTACCAAGAACAAACAAGTAGCAACCAAACAGAAAAGCAAAGTACTCATCACGTACATCCAATTCATCCAGA